TTTGTCTAATTGTTGGAGATGTTGGTTTAAGGTGTTGATTTTGGCTCTTTCCTCTTTTTTGATGTGTGCATTTATTGCTGTAAATTGGCCTCTGATCACTGCCTTTGCTATGTCCCAAAGATTTTGGTGTGTTGTATTTTCACTCTCATTTGATTCAAGGAATTTTTAAATTTCTTCTATTATCCAGTCATTCCTAAGGAGGGTGTTGTTCAGTTTCCATATGTTTGCTCTTTTTCTGTTAATCTTCCTATTATTGATTTCTAATTTGATAGCATTGTGATCAGAGAAGATGCTTTGCAGTATTGCAGTGTTTTTAAATTTATTAAGGCTTGCTTTATGGCCTAACATATGGTCTATCATGGAGAATGTTCCATGTGGTCTGGATAAGAATGGATATCTTCTTGTTTTTGGGTGAAGTGCTCTGTAGATGTCTATACAATCAAGTCAGTGGATTGTTTTGTTTAGTTCTTCTGTGTCTAAGTGCTCTGTAGATGTCTATAAAGTCAAGTCAGTGGATTGTAGTTTTTAGTTCTTCTGCTTCTTTTTTGAGTTTCTTTCCAATTGTTCTGTCTTTCATTGAAAGTTGTGTATGAAAGTCTCCTACTGTGACTGTGGAGTCATCTATGTGTCTTTTCAATTCTGTTAAAGTCTGATTGATATATTTTGGGGATCTTTCCTTGGGTCCATAGATATTTATTACGGTTATATCTCCTTGTTTGAGTGATCCTTTAATCATTATATAATGTTCTTCCTTGTCTCTTCTGGTGGTTTTTGTCTTAAAGTCAATTTGATCAGAAATTAATATTGCCACTCCTGCTCTTCTTTGGTTGCTATGTGCTTGATATATCTTTTTTCCTACCTTTGATTTTTAGTCTATTTTTGTCTTTGTTTCTAAGGTGTGTCTCTTGTAAACAGCATATTGATGGATTATGTTTTCTTATCCAGTCTGCAACTCTCCATCTCTTGAGTGGTACATTTAATGCATTGATGTTCATGTGTAATTATTGACAAATATGAATTTGTTGCTGTCATTTTGTTATGTGTTTTCTTCATGGTGTTTCTGGTTTCTTTATTCCATATGATTTTCTGTGCTGAGTTCATTTTGTTTATAAACAATGTTATCATTTCTGTAGTTGTTGTTATTTTAGTATTTGCTAAATATCTGTGCTTGTCCTCTTTTTTATTGTGATGTGAAGGTTTATCATTTTTCTTTGAGATTACCCTGTGATTTATGATTTTCTCCCTGAGATTAGAATAGTCCATTCTATCTTGCAACTCTCTTGACTTCCTCCCTATTTAGAAGTTTTGTAACTGCACTATTTTTTCCCTTTTTTTTTTTGTTTGTAGCTATCTTCATTTGTCAATTGATTTCTCTGGTTCTCTGTTTACAACCTTGTAAGTGTATTTTACTTTGGATACTGCCACAATTGGTTTGGTTTCTGGGTTATGTCATCATGTGTATTAATGGGCAGTTGTTGTTTGCTATTAATGGTTCTCTGTCCAAAGGACTCCCTTTAGTATTTCTTGTAAGGTTGGTCTGATTTTAACAAATTCCCTTAATTTCTGCTTATCTGGAAATGTCCTCATTTCACCATCATATTTGAGGGACAGTTTTTCTGGGTATATAATTCTTGGTTGGAAATTTTTCTCTTTCAAGGTTTTATTTATACAGTCCCATTGCCTTCTCTCCTGCATGGTTTCTGCTGAGAAGTCAGAGCTTATTTTCATTGGTTGCCCTTTGTAGGTAACTTTTTGTTTTTCCTGTGCTGCTTTTAGGATTCTTTCTTTGACTTTGTTTTTGGTGAGTTTGATTATGATATGGCTTGGTGATTTTCTTTTGGGATCTACCTTGTTTGGGGTTCCTTAGACAGCTGCTCCTTGGAAGGAAGATGGGGCAATCTACTTCCGTAGTGATAATGCCTCAGAAACCCAAGGAGGGGTCGCTATAAGAAGGGTCCAACTCAGCAGCATATAACAACAACAACAGACTTCCTGAATGGATATATTCTCATCTTTCATCATATCAGGGAAGCTCTCTTTCAAGAAATCTTGGATAATTTTCTCAGTGGTTTTCTTTTTCTCTTCCTGTTCTGGAATTCAGATTACACATAGGTTATCCCTTTTGTTGGTATCCCACATGAAACTCAGGCTTTTTTCATTTTGTCTTGATCTTTTTTCTGATTGATCCCTTTCCAAAGAAGTATTCAGGTATTTGTCTTCAATCTCATTAATCCTGTCTTCCATTGATTTGATTCTACTCCTTTGCTCTTTCAGTGTGTTATCTATTTCTGACAATTTAGTATTAATCTTCTGGATTTTTATCTGTAGATTTTGTATCATTTCTAATTTTTCATTTATTTTGTCATTTTGTTCTTGTATTTTTGAAACTGTTCTAGAGTTTTGTCTGTGTTTTCCTTTATGTTGTCCATGTTTTCCTTGATATGTCTCTCAATCTGTTGAAGGTAGCTAAATATAATTCTTTTGAATTCCTTATCAGGGAGTTCCAATGTTGCTTCTTCTTCAGGATGTGTTCTGGGTCTGTATCTTGCTCCCCTGTTTCCACTTCTTTATCTTGCTTCTTTGTGTGGACTGAGATTGTCTGTTGTCTCTGAGACATTGTGACTTTGTTGTATTTATATTTAATTAGTGGTTGTGTGTTGGAGTGATTCATCCAAGATTTTTTTCTTTTTCTTCTTCTTCTTCTATTTTTATTTTATTTTTTTTTTGTGGATGTATTTGAGAAAGCTTGGTACTATGCTCTGCTATTCACTAGTGTGCAACACTTATGCACTCACCACCTATCTCCTAGTGGGTGTGATAGAGAATGAGAGTGGCTGCACAGATCTCTGTTGACTGTTGGTGAAGAGCAGTTAAGGGTGAATCAGTCTCTTATTTGTGGTCATGTATTATTGGTCAGTTGATGCAGAAGGAAGTGGAGGCATTCAGTAAGTGCAGCTGCAGGAGGTATGGGTGTGGTTGGGTTTTATGGGCATGATTGCTGTCTCCCACTCAGACAAAAACAACAATTAAAATCCCATAAAAATAGTAAAGCAAGAGGACAAAAAATACACACTGCATAAACACACAGGAACAATCACCAGAAAGAAGAAGAATTAGAAAAAAGGCAATAAATGAGAGAAAATACTTAAAGAAATACTTTAAAAATCCAAAAGAAATATGCTTAGAAAAAAGGGGGAAGAAAACAAGATCAAAATATCTGAGGAGGGGGGAATAAGAGAAAAGAGGTAGAGTAGGAGAATAATGAAGAAAAGAATGGGAAAATGCAAAATGAAAAACAAGGAATAGGGAGACCCACAAGAAAGAAAAAATGGCAACTACAAAAAGGGAAGAGAGAAAAAACTGAAAACTAGAATCGGAAAGGGAAGAAGAGAGAATAATAATAATAATAATAAAAAGATGGAAAAAATAAAAAAAAAGAATAACTTTAAAATAGACAAAAATAAACAAACTAAAAAAAACAAAAGGAAAAAAAAATCTGTGGGGTGGGGCATGGTACCCAGGCTCTGTCAGGGCACACAGGTTGAGATGGAATTCCTGCTGGCCCAGAAGGTGGGTGGGAGTGAGGAATGGCTGCACCTTTGTTCACCAAGAGGGTGTGGGGTACAAGAGTATCAAGGGGGATATTTCCAGTCCTCAGTGTCCACTTGTTCTCCCCGGCAAGTGAAGCCTATTCTTAGGTCCTTAGAATCTGAGAGAATGTTGTCGCTTTCAACATCCAAAATGGTTGAGCCACTTGTAAACATTCAAAATGTTGTGCCCTCCAGACAGGCAAAAACCCACAGTGTCACCTGTCTCCTTCTTTGCTGCTTCCCCTTTTATTCACCAGCTACTAGTGCAGTCCTCTGTGCAACCCCTGGCTAGCAGGGCTGATTTTTAGGTTAATTCTCAGGTCCCAACACATCTTGGCAACATCCAAGCTGTCTGTGCTGTCAGGATCACTGACAGTCTGCAGCTCCCTATGTCTTCCTTTCTGCTGTTCTCATGCAGGTTCTTCCACCAGTTGGAGTTTAGTCCACTTCTGTATCCTTCCTTTCCAAGCTCAGTGCTCCAGGATTATCTTCTGTATCTGTGTTAATTGGTTCCTTTTTTGTTGTTGTTGAGGAGTGTTTGTGTAGTTTGTCTGCCTAGTTTACCATCTCACTGGGACTCCCCAAGACAGATATTTAAAGACTGGTACTTGATAGAAAGTATGGCTTTGATAGAAAGGTGTGTGTGTGTGTGTGTGTGTGTGTGCATGTGCATTCATACATTTATATACTCAAGAGTGTGGTTCATGATTATTCTATTCATATTTATCAAGGAGATAGACAATATCCTTCTGATTTACTAAATTCACATTTCCATTATTATCTCTAATTCCTCTCAAATATTTTACACACAAACACATCAGAGGGAGAAAAAAAGAGAGATAAGTTTTAACTCTTTACCTGGTGGGTTCCAAGCAACAAATACGGAATAAGGTCCATTTACTGTTGTATTATATGGAGAATGGATTTCTTCTGGTGTCCATAGAGGTGTTTGTACAACATAATCATCACTAGTACTGCTGCCACCTTCAGTTTTGGCTTCTAACTTGTAAACATATCTATATGTTAAAAAAAAAAAAAAAAAAGAATTTTGATAAGGCAATGCACGAGACTTGAACAAAGATTGTTGGCTTTTCTGTCATACTTAGTCTTAAATTTATGGGAAATTGCCAACCTTTTACTCCTTGACCAGTAACCTCATGCTAGACTTTGCAGTTTTTCCAGCACTAGATAGAATTCTCTTCAGTTCATCATTATTTCTGCCCTGCCCATCTTCATATTTAACCCTAACCCTGGTACTGCCATGGTTAAATATTTGGCTGTTAACCAAAAGGTTGGAAGTTCCAATCTTCCAGCAACTCCTCAGGAGAAAAGACTTGGTGGTCTACTCCCATAAAAATTACAGTTTGGAAACCCTAAGTGACTATTCCACTCTGTCATATAGGGTCATTATGAGTCAGAAATGACTCAATAGCACACAACAACAACAATAACAGTAATTCAAAGTTTTTATGGAAGATTTCAGGAAAGTCTGTGTATGTACAGTTAGATTGTGGAGGATTCAGTTTAATTTTCTCTGTTTTCAAATGGGTTGGAGTTCAGGAAATTACAAAAAGTGATTCTAAATTGATCTCTACTCTCTACTATAAAACTAAATTGATCTCTCCTCTCTGCAATAAACATGTATTGATATAAAATATATTTTGTCTTCACTGTGAAATGAATGGGAATGAATTGTAAGTATATGGAACTGTTTTGACCAAAAATTTCTCATCTCTATGTATACAGTATTAGATGACTGATGGCACATAACAACAACAACAACACCAATATATATAGTATAGCAAGTAGAGAAAACATACTAGACAAAATGATAGTATAATGTTTTCTCTGGTAGCTTAGGGGCTAAGGCACTTGACTGCTAACCAGAAGGCGCACCAGCCACTGCTTGGAAGTAAGGTTGGGCAATCTACTTCCATAGTGATACCGTCTCAGAAACCCAAGGAGGGATCACTATGAGTCAGGTCTTACTCGAAGGCACACAGCAACAACAACCGACAATAGTTAATGTAAAACATAACATTTAAAATTTTTTATTGCTAGTTTCAGAAAGCATGATTTTGAAGATAATTTGATAATTTTGAAGGTTTAATACTGTGTGTATTTTATATATTTAAAAATTCTTATGCTTCAGCATTTAATTAGTATTTTTTAATGTTTATTGATATTTTTGAGGAATTTTATGTAATCTGAAGATTAACTTAATGGTTTAGCACCTGTGTCTTATTGATAGAAAGATCTCATTAACTACAGACTGATTAAAGAATGAATAGATTGAATGATTGATGGATGGATTTATCGATTTAATATTGTTTCAGTGTGAGATGTGCTATTTTTCAACCTCCCCCCAAAATCTAAAAATCTTATGGGTGATTGATAACATCTTCTTTTGGTTTACCTGGTGTTGGGTTCCAGGTTTTTGTCAGTGAAATTCTGCTTCTCACTGCCACCCAGGAAAACCAAAGTTCCATTACGCCTCAAGTTATATTGAGAAATAAGGCCATTGGGCTTTTCTGGTTGACTCCAATATAATTCCACTGTTGTAGAATTGACGATAATATGTCGAGGTGTCATCCAAACTCCTGGTGAAAATAATAAAATGAAGTTTTATTATTAGGATAAAAGTCACACAATCACTTCACAAACTCAGATATTTTTCTCTGTTCACAAAAAATATCCCATTGAGCAGCAAAAATACATTTTGTTTACTTTGGAGGTAAAATATATAATTGGGAAAACATTTATTTATTTATTGCTTTATTTTTTAATTGCCTTTAGAAAGCGAATGTCAAACAAACAATATAGAAATTACTCTGTATTTGTTGCCACTTGGAGTGTAATTAAAATGAAGGCCTAAAAGACTGTCCAGGGATTTCAAACACTGGTGCCTATTTACTTGGCATTTGTAAAAGTAACTACAATCTAGTATTTGCTTTAATGATACAATTTAACAAATTCTTTCACTTTGCCTGTAGGACACCACTTGCTCTGTTTGTTTTTCTCCTTTCTCTTTGGTTACTGCTTCAGGGCTTATTGACTGGCTTCTCTATCCCCAAACCAAACCAAACAAAATTCACTGCCGTCGAGTCGGATCCGACTCATAGCGACCCCTCCTTGAGTTTCCGAGGCAGTATCACTACGGAAGTAGATTGCACAACCTTCTTTCTGAGAAGTGGCTGGTGAGTTTGAACCATCAGCTTTCTGGTTAGCAGTCAAGTGCCTTAGGCACTATGCCACCATCATAGTGCTTTAGGGACTTACATTCTCTATTCTGTCCTCATTGCCCCTCCTCTTATCCTTTACTCCTCCAACTGTCTTTCTTGGTGACCTCCATTTAGTACTTTAGTTTTAAATATCTTCTATATTGATGTAAATCGTTTTGTTTTGTTTTGTTTTGTTATTTGTACAACTATGTATTAGAATTGATTCAATGGGGTTACATGTGGAAGCTACCACTTGTGTGTCAGTTTGTCATTCTATTGAGGTTTGAGTGTTGCTATAATACTGGAAGCTATACCACCAGTATTTCAAACAGCAGCAGGGTAACCCATGGTGGACAGGTTTCAGTGGAGCTTCCAGACTAAGACAGAGTGACAAGAAATGTCTGGCAATCTACTTCCAAAAATCAGCCAATGAAAACTCTGGATCACAACAGAATGTTGTCTTACATATTTTTGGAAGATGAGCCCCCAAGTTGAAAGGCACTCAAAATACACAGTGGCTCCAACAGTGGACTAGAACACACCAGCAATTGTGAAGATGGCAACACTTTGTTCTGTTGTACCTAAGGTCACCATGAGTTGCAGCTGACTGGGCAGTAACTAACAACATATGCTGAAGCATCCCAAGTGCACAGAGTAGCACTCTCTCCTGAGCTTCAAACTCACAAATCCCACTGCCTACTTGACATTTCCGTTTCTCCTGCTTCAATACAAGTTTAGCTCCAAAAGGGCAGGAGTCTTCTCTGTCTTATTTTTTCAGTGTATCTGTATGGATAGTGCAATGCCTAATAAATGAATGAATTCATTGTAAATATATCTCCTACAAAATACTATATTAAGCACTCTCACCTACTCTACAGAATACAAAGATGACTTAGACGTAGCTTATTCTCTCAAGGTGTTTACTCTTCTGAATAACACATTAAATATACACATTAATATCTGCAATTCAAGTCGAACATTCAAATACTCTTCTAGATGAACAAACTATTAATGGATAACCTAGACATGTGAAAGATCAGTCTTATTACTTTATGATGTCATTTAGGTACACTCTGAATAGATACTGTAACTCCCTTTTTAAAAACACATTTCAATATTAGGTTCCCTGAAACCAATAGTTTTTAGTTGATTTTATCTCAGGTGTTAAGTTACCCTGTGTTGTTGTTGTTAGGTGCCATTGAGTTGGCTCTGACTCACAGAGATCCTGTGTACAACAGAAAGAAACACTGCTCAGTCCTACACCATCTTCACAGTCCTTGCTTTGCTTGAGACTACTGTTGCAGACACTGTGTCGAGCCACCACATTGAGGGTCTTCCTCTTCTTTGCTGGTCCTCTATTTTACCAAGCCTGATAGCCTTTTCTAGGGACTGGTCCCTTCTGACAACATGACCAAAGAATGTGAGATGAAGTCTGGCCATTCTTACTCCTAAGAAGCATTTCGTGGAACTTTTTTTTTTAAAGAAGTAGATGGCAATGTCCTGCTTTCCTTTCTGTCCTAGTCTGGAAGCTTCTCTGAAATCTGTCCACCATGAGCAACCCTGCCAGCATTCAAAACACCGGTAACACAGCTTCTAGCCTCACAGCAACAGGCAAGCCACCATAGTACCACAAACTGAGAGATGAGTAGTAGAAATTAGTCTATAGGAGTAAGCTTTTACTATTTTCAGAAGGAAAAAAAAATAACAACATTGAAGTACAATTTATTCAGTAGCATTCTAAAAGAATCATGATAGATTTCTAAATGGCTCCAACTTAAAGACATTCTAAGGAGTAACTGATTCCTGAGGAGATGGTAGATCATTTTGTTCTAAGAGCTTTCTCTATGTCAGATGCTTGGAAAAACCCACAAATCACAGTATACGTGTTTGCCAACAGCTGCCAGATGATTCAACCCACTAATTAGTGTTATGATTTAAACATGATATTAATTTGTTGATTCAAGAGATAAATACATAGGTTTAGTTCATAATCTGCTTCCTGTAGTCGTGTCTTTCTCACCTTGAAAGATACATTGCAAATCACCAAAGTACTAGAAAGGCTATTGCTTAGTTTCTAATTTGAAGTAGTTCAGGAAGCCTACAGACAAATGGAGGAGCTAATGAAATAAAATTAAGCAAACTTTTGAGTTTTCTTCCAGTTTTAAATAAAAATTGTTCATACTTATACAGGGTGGTGATTGGCAAGATTAATTTCAAAAAGTGCGAAATAACTAATAAGTGCTCTATTTTACTTGCATACTATTCGTTGCACAATGATGTGGAGAAGGAGCTGTGGTGGTGTAGTGGGTGAGATAGATATCTGACTGCTAACCAGAAGGAAGGTCCAAGGTTCAAACCAACCAGCTGCTCCATGGAAGGAAGAAGGGGGAATCTACTTCCATAAAGATTTACCATATTGGAAACCCAAAGGGCGTCACTATGAGTTGGAATCGACTCAATGGCAGTGTTTTTTTTTTTTTTTTAATGATATGGAGATGCTGTTATCTTGGCAGTTGGAAATTCTTTGGTAGAGTGAGATGCCTTTATATAACTCATGTGAACAATCTGTTCTGGCCCAAACGCAGCCTGAGTCTCATTTAGGCACCAGAAAACCTATTCTGAATAATAAAGAGGCAGAGATAGGCAGTTCAATAGAAGGGCATGGATGATAGGGAAATAATCTAGGAGGATGGTGGGGGGAAGGATGGTAAACTATGAAAGGGAAAGGTCAGAAGGAAAATTCTGGTGGGCCTCAAAACACAATAAAACTAAAAGCAAAGCAGTTGCCTTAGAGTGAATTCTGACTGCTGGTGATCCCATGTGTTGCAGAGTAGATGTACTCCATGGGGTTTTCAAGACTTTGATCTTTTAGAAGCAGATCACCAGGCATTTCTTTTCAGATGACTTTTGCCAGCCTTCTGGTTAGTAGTAGAGCACTTAACCATTTGCACTACCCAGGGACCATGTGGTTGTTGTTGTTGTTAGGTGCCGTCGAGTCATTTCTGACTCATAGAGACCCCATGCACAAAGAACGAAACACTGTCCGATCCCGCGTCAGCTCCATGATCCCTGCTATACTTGAGCCCATCATCACAGCCACGGTGTCAATCCATCTTGTTAAAGGCCTTCCCCTCTTTCACCGACCGTCCACCTTACCAGGCATGACATCCTTCTCCAGGGAATGGTCCCTTCTGACAACATGACCAAAGTAGGTGAGACAAAGCCTGGCCATTCTTGCTTCCAAGGAACATTCTGACTGTACTTTTTCCAGGACTGATCTGTTCTGACACTCAATGGTACTTTCAGTATTCTTTGCCAAACCACACAACTCAAAAGCATCAACTCTTCTTTGGTCTTCCTTATTCATCGTCCAGCTCCCACACGTATATGAGGCAATTGAAAATACCATGGCTTGTGTCAGGCACACCTTAGTCCTCACAGACTAGTCCTCCTTGCTCCTCAGCACTTGAAACAGTTCCTTTGCGGTTGACCTTCCCAGTGCTACACGTCATCTAATGTCCTGACTGCTGCTTCCATTGGCATTGATTGTAGAACCAATCAACGTGAATTCTTTGACAACCTCAATCTTCTCTCCATTTATTGTGATGCTGCTCATTGGTCCAGTTGTGAGGATTTTTGTTTTCTTTATATGGAGACATATTCCATACTGCACACTGTGTTCTGCATTCTTCAACCTTCAACCCAGGGACCATAGCTACTGGAAAAGCAACATGCCTATTGGAAATGCTTTAAATTGATCTTGAGTATCATGTAGTATGACTCACTCCCTGTGTCCCTAAAAATCTTCTTTGCAATTTTAAATCCCAACATTTCTGGTGGATTGGCTTTATCCTAGAAGCTGATGAAGAGACCAAGTTTTACATCAGCAGATATCAAGGATGCATTGGTTTCCAGACTGTACGCTGTAAATTAATTTATTAATTTCATATTCCACCTGATTTTGTGTTATTTATTGTGTTATGTACTATGAACATAGGGATAAAAATTATAGTTGCAGTGTAGTAAATTACATGATATAGCTTTTCTAGGCATAGTCTTTGTAACTCTCACTGTATTACTAGGTGGGACCATGCAATTTAAACTCCTGATTGTTAAAGTCATCTACCTGTGGTATTTCTGTTGGAGAAAAAGTGATCTTCTGGGAAAATTTTCTCTCTCTCTCAGGTGTTTAGAATTCTGATGTTGGGATTGATTAGTTGTGCCACTCTGCCAGGCTTAAAATGAGCCATCCTAGAGGCAGAAGGAATCTCTCACTGCCAGCTGAGACAGATGTGCTGCTGAGAGAGACACACGGCTGAGAGAGACATGCTGCTGAGAGGCTGAGAGAGACTGCCGGCTGAGAAAGACTGAGCATGTTCCTGAACTTGAACTGTAGCCTGTTGCTTCCCTTATAAACCCTATATTCTATGGGTTTTGTGTGGCCACTGCAGCAAATTATCAAACCCAGCAGAGAGATGGTGGGTGCCGTGAGAGGGACGGTTGATGTCTAGGTTGGCAAAAGGGCTGGAGGATGGTGGCATATCTGGTCTCATAGGAACAGGCCTTGGGCAGATGCTGATGGTGATTCTGCCTTCTTCTTGTGTAGTTAGAGGTCAGAAGATGCTGCCTCCTTGCCCCTTTAGCAATAGTCCTTACCTTTGAATAAATTCACAGGGCCATGATGAAAAAAAAAAAAAAAAAAGACAAACTTATAATCATTTATGATAAATGCTATGAGAGAAGGAAACATAGTTGTTATTGGAGTTGTTTAGGAAGGGTATTTGACACAAACTAGGGGTGTGAGATGGGGCTAGGAAAGTGGAAGTGGTCACAGGAGAAGATTTACAGAAGGGGAGACATTTGAAAAAGTAGAAGTTACTTGTGTGAGTGTAGTGGATTGGATGTTGTTGTGTTGTTGTTATGTGCCGTCAAGTCGGCCCCGACTCATAGCGACCCCTCCTTGGGTTTCCGAGGCAGTATCACTACGGAAGTAGGATTGCCCAACCTTCCTTCCGAGGAGTGGCTGGTGGGTTTGAACCACCAGCCATCTGGTTAGCAGGCAAGTGTCTTAGCCACTATGCTACCAGAGCTCCCAGTGGATTGGATAGTGTCCCCTAAAAATTCATATCTACCTGGAAACTCAGAATGTGGACCTTACTGATAGTCTTGGTAGAAAAAGTCAAGTTAAGATAAGGTCAAAGTGGACTTATGTGGGTCCTAAATTCAAGGATTGGTATCCTTATAAGAAAAGGACCAGCACATACAGACACAGAGAAAAAAAAAAAAAAAAAAAATCATTGTTTAAATAGAAGCAGGAATTGGAGTGGTGCAGCAACAAGCCAAGGAATAACAAGGATTGTTGGGAGCCACCAGAAGCTGGAAAAGGCAAGGAAAGATTCTTTCCTAGAGCCTTCAGAGGGAGCATGGCCCTGCTGGCAACTTGATTTCAGATTTCTAGCCTCGGGAATTGTGAGAGAATAAATTTCTGTTGGTTTAAGTCACCTGTTTGTGGTACTTTAAGACAGCCCTGGGGAACTGATACAGTGAAGATGTAGGTGATATACACAAAGACATGAGATCATGGTAGAACTAACTGCATGGAGAGCCCCGGATGTCATGTGGGGAGTACAGAACACGTGGCAGATTGGCAGAAGTTAAAACTTGAAAGTCTGTTTTGTCTAATAGGTCTTTTGTTTCTTGAAGAAAATGGAGATTTTTTATGGAGGTGATTAGTATGAGATATGCCAATTTTAGTAAAAGTGGGAAAGGATTTGGGGTAAGGGATATAGGAAAGAGAAAAATGATTAGAGTCAGAGAAACTAGTTAGGAGGATCCAGGGAAATTATGAGACTGAACTAAGCCAATGGCAGATGGGAAGGAGATGAAAGGCAAATTAAAAAAATTAAAAATCTTCAAAAATTCTAAGATTGTATGACCAGGCTTTCAGCAATCACTAGGCAAATTCAGCTTGAATGAAATGAAATCTAAATAATTGTTAGGAATTTCCTCAAATATCTACAGATAATAATCATTTTAAAAAAATTGATAATATGATTATATGCCCCATTGAATACCACAGGCTGAGGAAAAGTGAATCACTGAGAATGTCAAGTTTGAGGCTTAGGTGACTAGGTGGATGGTGGTACCTGGGAGAGGGAAGCAGGAGAAAGAGCAAGTTGAAGGTAGGGTGGGAACAAGATTATTTAAGTGTTGAAATACTGAGTTTGAAGTATTGGCAAAACATCTAAAGATAAACATCTAGTAGACCAGTGAATACATAGGCCTAGCATTCATGAATAGGTTTTTGTCTGCAGCTGTAGTATTTTGTAGCTATGAGCCTTTGTGTAGGAGTTAAAACCAGTGTTTGAGAATTCTAAGGGAGACTGTGTGGAGTTAGTAGAGCAAAGAATGGAGGAAGAATGCAAGGAAACACGACCAATTAAAAGAAAGGCAGAGGAAGAGAAATCTGGAGAGAAATTGAGAAAGATTTGTCTTCTTTTTATTTCTCTTTCCCAATGTTACAGGAAAATATATGTGCAATTTAAATGCATGTATTTAAAAGCATTTAAAGTAAATGCTTACTTTACTTCTAAAATAAATTAGACCTCTCAAGGATGACAGAGAGTGAGATAATCCAATTCTAACTCTTCTTACTCTTTGATTAAAAGTATACAACTTGAGAATCAAATTGTAGAGAACTATGTCTAAATTATCAATGAGGTTTTGATGTGTATTAACTTTTTTAAATTTTTAGATAGAAAATGAGAAAATAAGCAGTGCTCAGGTGGCTATGAAGAAATGTTTCCATTAACACTCTCCATATCCAAATAGGACAGTCAAATGTTCCAGCTTCAAGCTATGTCTGATTCACTTCAAAATTCCATTTTTTTATAATTAGTTACATTGGTTATTAGTTAGTAACTGGAAATATGTTTATTTTCACTTTACAATAAAATGATGGAACTTAATGTTATTTCTGGTTTATCCCCTTATAAGTCCTAAGTTAAGTACTCAGACTATTATTATTTTATATATCAGTCATTCACAAATGACACTTACCCAGTCATAAATGGATTCTAAACTCATGTTTCTTCTGCATAGGAAAGCCCATTTAGTTTATTATTTCTTTATATAGTTATTTGTGGTAAAGGAAAGGTACATAGAGTTAAAAAAACATCAAGGACATTTCTCATCTCACACTCCCTTCTGTTGAAAGCTATAATTTTTAGGTCATAAAAGCTGAGAGCCCTTTTAAGAAATATTGTTGGGGAAAATAGTTGTATATTTTGAGAGAATTTAAATATATGGATTTGATGGAGTAAACTAGAGGAAGAGATCCTGTTATTTTATCAGGCTTGAGTTTCAGCCAAAACTGGTTGATAGATCCTTCAGAAATTATCCATTATCATCATAGTATCCATTTGATAGTTTACCTTTCCAAAAAATCCACTGCTGCTTTCTTCCTTTCAAAGGAACACTAAGCTTTTTGACATGAAACATTCTTTATATAGAAAACATCATTAGTGAATTCCTGGTGAGGAGCCATATGCCCCATATGTGGAATTTTCCATTTTATTCCCCATTTACTAGTAGGAAATTTCAGGTCTAATATTCTGAGGTACAACAATCCCTTTCATTAGAAGAGTAATGGACAAGTAGTTCAGGACCCTACTGTGGTAATTAACATTACATTTCAGTTTAGAAACTTATCTATGACTCAGTTTCCCCACAAAGAATACAGGCAGATAAAAAGAGTTAACAAATAATTAATTGATCACTAGCAAAAACTAATGAGTACATTTTTCTCTTAAAAGTAAATGACATCTCTATGACATTTTTTATCTGTATACTTTTTTTTGATGTGATTGTTTTTAACATGCTAAAAGGAATAAGAAAAAAAAAAAAGTAAATGACATCATCCAAACCCAGCTCCCATCCCAAAGGTAACCATTGATATCAAACCAAAATACAAATTCCAGAATGGTATATATATATATATATATATATATACACACCAATAGAAATGAGTAACATTTTCTATGTGCTTTTTATACATAATAGGTAATTTCAAAAAACTCAATTGCTGTTGACTCAGTTCCGATTCATGGGGACTCAGTGTGTATCAGAGTAGAAACATGAGGTTTTCAGTGCCTGATTTTGGGGAAATAGATTGCTAGATATTTCTTTGAGGAGCCTCTGGGTAGACTCGAACCAGCAAGTTTTTTGTTAGCAGCCCAATGTGTTAACTGTAATATCACATAGGGAATCTATGTAAAGATAACATACATTAAATACATTTCTTTGACTTCCTTTTTATATTTGGGTTAGTTATCTCAGTTTTTAAAACTGATTTGTGGACTTCCATAATGTGAGTATATATGAATTTATTTAGAAATTGTCCTACTCGTGGACATGTACCTCGACTCCAACATTTTGCCAAAGTGCTTTAAATGGTGCTTTAATAAACATCCTGGTAATTCGTCTTTGTGCAGTTGTGGAAGCATTTTTATCTGGCATAAATAGTGAAAATGGAATTGCTGTGTCATGGGAAATTTACATTTTGAATTTAATAGACTTTGCCAACTTGTCTTAGAAGATGATGGTCCCAGTTTATGTCCCCTCATCATTTTTCAGAGTAAATCACATCATATATGTGAATATGTGAATCGCTGTTCATTGGTCAAATTCCTTGTTTCTCATGCTCCATCTCAACAGTCATCTACTACACAAAAACTTTTTTGATGTCCCCAGTGGGTTGTAATCGCCCCTCCTCTGATTAACCTGAACAGTCTGTTCAATTGCTCTTTCTTAACATCACCTTTCAGATTCTGACTCTTCGAATAGATTTTGGATACTTGTTCTATCACTTCAGCTGATTTAAGCTCTTGAAGGCAAGGCATATTTTAGTCAACTACAGCACCTACCACAGTGTCTGCTATATAAGAGGCACTCCATAAATATGGGTTTAAGTTTCCAGTTTTGGAGGAATTTTGCATATAAGTAGACAATGAATTTTTCCCACACAAAACAAAATTTAAAAGGTTTAAATAATTGAACCTTCTAAAGATAATTTAAAATTTTTAAAGCAAACTTATCTTGGGAGGCCTGGGTTCAATGAAGATTAAGGAGTAGGAACCTAGAATACCTTTCTTTCATACCTACCAAATTTACTCCTTCTTTCTTGTTTCTTTTGAGAAAGTTTCTAACATTCATTTCAAAGTACTGTAAAAAAACTCTTCCCCCAACTATAATTTTTTGGTTTTTTTTTCATTACCTTGAGGGGCTGCCTGAAGTGTCTGACCTAGAAAAGGTTCACTTGAAGTACAGCCAGCAGATGTACAAGCTGTAATTGTGAAGCTGTAGTTGCTGTGTGGCTGGAGACCTAGAAATAGCACACAAGAAATAAAGTAGATCTTGAGACGATTATTTATTATCAATTAAGTACCAGAAGTAACATGCAGAGTTGTAGACATGATATCCAAAAAATTTAACAGCAGATTATACTCTTTAATAAAGATAGGAGTTTCACAAACAGTTTAAATATTAACAGAAATTTATTTTGTTGCTGCTTAAATAATATATTTTCAGTCTTGATAAAGATCTTAAGATTCCATAATCCATCCCTCCATCTTTGTCTTTATTCCCCCCTGCTAAGTTGTCATTGAAGAGGATGTCCTGCCTCTAAGATCTGGAGTACTCCTTCTCCCAAAGAGCCTATTCGATCTTTGGAGAGCTCTAGAGTTTTCCTCATATTGTCTGAAAGTCCTTTCTTATATTGCACGAAATCTTTCTATCACTTCTATCTCTGGGGAAATACAGAACAAATCTAATTTCTTTTCCACATGACAGTTCTTCAAATATTTGTAGACAGTTATCAAATCACCCCGAGTCTTGTCTTCTCCAGGCTAACCATCCCAGTTATTGCAACTGCTTCTTACATGAACAGGGGCAGAAAAATAAAATCAAGGTTAGGTTCAACATTTTTTTTTTTTTTTTTAGTTCTAAGACATATTTGACTCATGTTAACACCAAACAATACTTTAAAAAAACAAAATAAAACTCTGTACTTATTCATCTTGTGTATTCATAAATATACCATCTCACACTTCTGTAGTTTTGGGGGGTATGTTGGTTTGTTCCTTACACATAGACTAGACAAAATTTGATGAAGGGACAGTGCCTATTCATATTAAAAATATAATAATAATAATAATAAAAACTGCTGTTGAGTCGGATCTGACTCATAGCAACCCCTCCTTGGGTTTCCAAGGCAGTATCACTATGGAAGTAGATTGCCCAATCTTTCTTCCAAGGAGTGGCTGGTGGGTTTGAACTGCCAGCTTTCTGGTTAGCAGTCAAATATCTTAGGCCCTACGCCACCAAAGCTCCCAGAAATATGATACAGCACAGTAAGTTCTCAGAGAAACAAAAAATGACTTGATCCATTTACAAGAGAAGTTGTGTATGGTTAGACTACCACTCCATGGCTGGTGACCTTGGGCAAATTACTTAGCTTTTCTTTGCCTTGTAACCAATTACCATAGAATTAATTCTGACTCATGGTGACCTCATGTGTGTCAAAATAAAACTGTGCTCTATGGAGCTTTCAATGGCTGATTTTTTGGATGTAGATCACCAGACTTTCTTCCAAGGTGCCTCTGAGTGGATTTGAATCTCCAAAGTTTTGGCTAAAAACCTCATGCATTAACAATTTGTACCACCCAGGGACTCTGATTTGTTAAACAGGAAATCACTATAGCATCTAGCTACACAAGCTGTTGAGATGAAATGGGTTATCTGGAACAATACTTTAATTTAACAGAAGCAAACTTAAGACTTAGAAGCATTTAACTTAGAAAAGTTTACTGAGGCTAACAAAACATTTCTTTCCTTGATTCTTGGGAAAGTCCAAACAACACCAAACTTTAATTTTTTTTTTCTTTTTTCTTTTAAGAGTAGGACACAGTCTATGTTTGATTGATTTTAAATAATTATGTCAGGTTATAACCAAAAACCCATTGCCATTGAGTTGATTCTGACTTATTGTGACCCCCATAGGGTTTCCAACTCTGTAAATCTTTATGGAAATAGATTGCCTCATTTTCCTCCCATGGAGCCGATGGTGGGTTTGAATTGCCAACCTTCTTTCTGGTTAGCAGAAAAAAGAATTTTGAACATGGATCCAAAATTATTATCCTTATTTTTCATGAATTTTGAACTATATTTTCACATTCTTTGTTCTTTTGGTGGAGTGACTCTTCCTCTGTATGTTCATATCATTTTATGTATATTTTATGTATATTGGTACATTTTCAAAGATTTTGACCACTTTGTCTAAAGTACCACATACATCATGCTTTATCCCCTCACCTTACTTTCTTCTTTCATAGCCATCCACACTATCTAATGTTTTATTATATATCTAATGATTTATTTTTGTTTCTCCTAATATGATGTAACGTCCACAAAAAACAAGGATATTGTTGTACCTACCACTTTATCCTTAGAGTAGTGACTATCACAAAGTAGGTGCTTAATGAACTGTTGTAAAATGAATGAATATATTAATGAACTGATTGATTTAGGATTGTGGGAGTTATCTGGCTCTTTGCTAAAGCAGTAATGTTCCAAGATTCAGCTTCAAAGTCTTTTGTGTTTTCTTATCAATTTGGTGATAAGATGCAGGTACTTATTTGATTATAATCTTCCATGTGGTTGCTATGAAGGATTTACATAATTTTGATATTTATATGATTTATAGAGGAGGACTATGATGAAAGATCTAAGCTATACCCAAGCCACATATATTTGATAAAAGCTTATGGGAAAATGCTAAAGATTATAAAAATATGGAATTTAAAAGAAAATAGAAGGGAATATCTTAGAATGAAGATCTGAGGTTGTAGTAACCAGTTGATTTAGCCTACCAACATTCCCCTTCACTTCCACTACTGAAAAAGAGGGTCTTGGCCTGTAAAACCTTTTCAACTGGTGAATCTCTTACTTTCTCAATTACAATATAAACACTTTGAGAGTAGGGATGATATCTTTGAGTTTTGTTTTATGTTATTGAAGTTTTTCTATAATGCCTATTTCAGGTACCCAATAATGTTTGTTAAATATTGTTTAAAGAAAAGAGAGCCCACAGAAATGCTCTCTGCAAGGATGGCAGGGCTATGAAGCTATGATGTTCATCAAAAGTGTGACCTGAACAAATAGGTCTTTCATCATAATCCCATACATATCCTTGCCCACAGCATATATTGAATTGAGAGGAGATTATTCTGCAGTTGAAGAATTTTAATAAAATAATAATAAAATTAATAATTGTGAGCAATAGATATTTTCTAGAACTTTCTGAATGGCTGACTTAATTATACTGTTACAAGGGAAGAGATTTCTTTTTTCTCTGGAAAATGCTTGCAAAAAAATAGACTCAATTCCCTTCCTTGTTTTTGTCTGGTCTATTTCAAACATGCAGTGACTGTTAAAAAAATTTAAAGATGGGTGTTTGGGAGAAAGAAGAGAAAATTCATTATTGTAGGGGTGTAATAAGGTTAAATAGATGACCGAGGGTATTTGCAACAACGATAGTGACTAAAAAGCAATTTAATATATATAAAAATAAAAACAGACATTTCTTTATAGAATCTTTCTGGAAGCAAGTCAAGTGGCCTCTATTTTACCTGTAGCCCAGAATACTAGAAGACAGCTGTTTAGAGATGATACAACAGTGGCTGCAGTTATTCCCTTAAGAATTGCTGATAGACTGAGGAAGCCATGCCAAAGGAGTTTGTTACAGATGTTTAAATTGGATGGGGTAGGTTGACCCAGCAAAGTATGGGATCAAGAGGAAATATGTACATCTTGAAGGTACTGAGGATACAAAAATCAAGGAGGAATGTAGAATTCAGCATTGTATAGAAAGTCTGGGCCAGGAAGTGAGAGGAGTTCATACACATCATCAAACCAACAGGAGTGCAAGGTGAACTGGGGAAAAGAGACAAGGATTGAAGAACCAGAAAGAGCAGAGTGAGAGTCATGAGGCTGTCCATGAGGCAGAGGAGGATGATAGTCTCACTCCAATTTCTGGACAGTTTGTTCTCAAAAGCTTTTGTCTTACCCTGACAGTACGGCATGTGGATATGCTGACTATATTTAAAGGGCCATGTAGGGCAATGGGTAGAAACACTAATGGCCATTTCAACTGACATTTGTCAAAGGGTGCCATGTAACTCACATCTGCTATATTTATCATCAGGGTCCATTTGCTCTTTTTTTTAATAATAAAATTTAATTTCTTTTTCTTGGAAAGCTGGTCTTTGGCCCCAGTTGGCTTTGTGCTTTGTTTAGAAGTGAGTCTACCTAGACTGAGAAGTGTAGCTACAGCCTGGAAGGTCAGAGTGCCATAGTCCCTTTGCCATGTTAGCAACTTTGGTCTTTGGCCTAATTCAAGCCCATGCAAGCTAGACCTAGAACCAGAACTTTTGTTTTAACTTCTGCCACCCCACCCACCCACCACAACGACTACCACATAGAGCTTGAGAACAGAAGTGAGCTGAGAGATAAAAATAAATTAGGTCCTGGAAACATCAAGTGAGCTGTGCTGAAATTCTACACCTGACTCATTTCATGAGTCAATAAATACCCTTTCTTGTTAAGCTTGTGATTTACAACAAAAAGAGTTCTGGATGATATCATCAATTAGAGTTATTAATGTCACATACCTAACCACAGGCTCAGAATCCTATATGTTACATGTGGGAACCATAAGCAGCTGGTATTACCCTGTCCTAGTTGATCTGCCTTTATATAAGCTAGAAAGAGTTACAAAACCACGGGAAAGAGAATTAGCAACAACATGAATATTCCTTTGCATTTATGAAGAGGTTTCATCTTAAATCTCACTAGAACAGGAATTATTATTCTTGTTTAATAGGCTCAGAGAATCAAATATTCATATAGTGAATGAGTATGCCTAGCCAGGGGTAGGGATAAACCTAGGATGTTGACAATTAATCCCATCCTCTTGTCATTAGATAAGAACTACAGACAAACACATTGAAATTATTCATTGACCAACCTCCTGCTGAAGATTACACATCTTCATATTCTAAATATAGTAGAAATCATTACAACTCATTTGAAAAGGAAAAACAAAACTAAAACTAAAAATATTTGGTTCAAGCATCATTTTTGTATACTTTATACACACACAAACACACATACATACATATACACATATATATGTATGTATTTGTACATATATATATATATATATACACACACACGTGTGTGTGAGTAGTAGAAAAAAAAACACCCAGGCTTTTCTTTGTTGTTGTTATTCCATTTTTACTCCTTTTTCAGTGTTCTGGGCTCTGT